AGTTTTTATCATAAATGGATGTTGAATTTTGTCAAAAGCTTTTTATGCATCTACTGAGACGATTATATCATTTTTCTTCTTCAATTTGCTAATGTGGTATGTATCACACTGACTGACTTGCAGATACTGAAAAATCTCTGAATCCCTGGGATAAATCTCACTTGATTATTGCTTACAATTGTTTATGATCATTTTAATGTATTGTTGTATTTGGTTTGCTAGTATTTTGTTGAGGATTTTTGTATCTATGTTCATCAGTGATATTGGCCTGTAATTTTCTTTTCTTGTGGTATTTTTATCTGGTTTTGGTATCAGGGTGATGCTGGCCTCATAGAATGAGTTCAGAAGCATTCTTTCCTCTGCAGTTTTTTGGAATAGTTTGAGAAGGACAGGTGTTAACTCTTCACTAAATGTTTGGTAGAATTCATTTATAAAGCCATCTGGTCTTAGGGTTTTGTTTATTGGGAGTTTATTACTGATTCAATTTCATTACTGGGAATTGGTCTGTTCGTATCTTCTATTTCTTCCTGCTTCAGCCTTGGGAGATTCTAAATTTCTAGGAATTTTTCCATTTTTTCTAGGTTGTCCATTTGACTGGCATACAGTTGTTTGTCACAGTCTCTTATGATCCTTTGTATTTTAAAAGCCTCTTACTTTATTAAAACCAAGCCTACTGGGATGATACTGTTAGTCTAAAAGGAATCATCCAATAAAACTCCAAGAAAAAACAAAATATTTCTTCTAGTAATAGTACAAACGGTTGCAGTTCTCTCATTGAAAAGATATTATCATATAGGAAAGTCATTAGATCACATGAAATGAAATGCAGTTACTGAGATTATGAATACTCCCTGCCCTAAAGAATACTGCTGGGTGCTGCTTTCTGTCATCTTCTTCCTGAGAGCACCTCGGCCTTGACTATCAAGTTGGTGTATGGTCACTGTGATTAGCTGCATCATGGGTATAGCCCCCATACTTGACATTCATTTTAAAGTCACACCACAGTCTATGAAGTCAGGACTGGGCTGCAGCTTATTGTTTCCCTTACTTCTAGGATGATGCAAATATTCTTCCTAGAAGTTCCTACAATACCTTCTTGGCTTTTGAACATTGCCCAAGACAGTAGCAGTTTGTGTGACTTTTATAACAGGTCAACTTGTAGTAAAATTTTAATACAATAAAAATTATATCAAATACTACTTGAGTCAAAGACTATGGTACAAGCCATCTAAGATCAATCTAGATATCAATGCTATATGGAGTAGTGAAGCACAGAGGTTAAAGGTTATGGCTATATGGTAAGAGAAAAGTGAGATTAAATCCTGGTTCTGCCACTTATAAACTGTATGGTCTTGAATATGTTTGCTGGGGGCCCTAGGCTGTAAAACGAAGAAAGCAATATCCACCTCACAGAATTATTCCAGAGCTGTTTAGTCCAGTAACAAGCTCAGTGAATGGTAACTATAGCTGCTATTATTTATAATTAACACTATGAATATTTTTATTCTCCTTTCATCCATTTTACATCATCATTTAATGGGCATTCAAAGACTTCAAGGATGCTGTTCTTTAGTAACTGGGGCTATACCTAATCTACACATCAAATCAAGTCAGGAACAGGATCAAAATGTAGAGCAAGGTTCCTAAGCTACTCAATAATGTGGGAATCTGCCTTCTTAGGATCTTAATATGATCTTGCAGCAAAGAGGTCATTAAGAACTGGCTCTAAGCAGCTCAGGAGTAGAGGCTATCCCATGATCACAGTTCCTCTTGCCTCTAGCCCATCAATGTCATGTTTTTAAAGGCAGAGCAGGGCCCTCTATGGACCTGTCTTCCATGTGTGTGCATAACATGGCCCTGTTGGAGAAACCTAGGGTTAAAACTCTGGTTTCTATTTTTCAACATCTGAGACTTAATCATACTGCTCCAAATGAAGCAGCATTATTGCTTCATTGCTGTTGTTTCATTTTGTTTTGTTTTGTTTTTTTAAGTCATGGTTGCAAGATTACTTAACATACACTACACACACAAATATCTGAATATTATGGGAGACAATGCATAATCCCACTTCCCAAAAGATTTTTCCTCCTGTGATCGTTTTTGTTTTTGCTCCAATTGTCCTATTTTGCATGCTTTAGGATTTGGAATTTTTTTTTAAGTGTTTAAAACCTTTAACAACAAGAAAATAATTTGAAGTAATTTAGCAGAGAATAATAGTCATTAACAAAGTAAAAATACAGGTTTATTATTTGGAAAACATAAGATCTCTAAACATTATAACCAACTCAAGTTTAAAAGAACTCAGAAGTGAAACAAACCTAAAATTTTAAATAGATTATGTGGTTTTCTAACAATGTACTTAAAATTATGAACAGATAGAAAAAGATCACAATTATTGATACTAAAGAGCTTATTAAATTACAGAATATTTTCTGATGCAAAATTCAGGGAACCCTCCACAATGGTGGATAAGGAAACGAATAGAAAATGTCTAAAATTCTACTTAAGAAAGTTGATGAATTTTACAGTTCTTACCCTATTGCTGCTTTCTATTACAATTCCTATTATACTTTTTTGGTTATTTTTCTGCTGGCAATGTTTGTTCATTCTTTCACTTAGAACTAATTCCCTCAAAGCTGATTAAGAAGTCACGTTCTAGGGCTTCCCTGGTGGCGCAGTGCTTGAGAGTCCGCCTGCCGATGCAGGAGACGCGGGTTCGTGCCCCGTTTCGGGAAGATCCCACATGCCGCGGAGCGGCTGGGCCCGTGAGCCATGGCCACTGAGCCTGCGCGTCCGGAGCCTGTGCTCCGCAAATGGGAGAGGCCACAACAGTGAGAGGCCCGCATAACGCAAGGAAAAAAAAAAAAAAAAAAAAGAAGTCACGTTCTAGTGACAACCTCATCAGAACAAAAAGCACATTTTTGATGAGGCTTAATATCTTAAAATCAACAGCCTCATGGCTGGGTCCATTCTCACCTTCTATCTCCATTCCTTAGTAAATGGAGTTCCTCTCCTCCCCTTGAGGGGAAGACAGAAGGTGCCTATGGTTCTAATCTCTGCACTACAATCCCTGGAACAGGTGACACATGTGTTGAACAAGCTTTCTTTTCTAAGTGAAGCACTCTTGTGATTTGGACAGCTCACTTAAAAACGGCAATAATTTATTTTAAATTACTATTACTGGGCTTTCCTGGTGGCGCAGTGGTTGAGAGTCCACCTGCCGATGCAGGGGACGCGGGTTCGTGCCCCGGTCCGGGAAGATCCCACATGCCGCGGAGCGGCTGGGCCCGTGAGCCATGGCCGCTGAGCCTGCGCGTCCGGAGCCTGTGCTCCGCAATGGGAGAGGCCACAACAGTGAGAGGCCCACATAACCGCAAAAAAAAAAAAAATTACTATTACTTTAAATAATAATTTATTTATTAAAATAATTTATTTTAATGAAGGAATCAATTCCTCAACTTTGTTGTTCTTGATCATACAATATCCTGGCTACCCAGAACTCCTGAGGAGGAAATTGCACTGAATACTTGTGTTCTATTGGTAGTTGAGGAATTTCCTTCCCTCTTTTAACATATATACATAAAATAATATATAAATATAATTTAATCTTCTTAACAAACTCAGATTGTTGTTCTTCCATGAAATAAACAGAATGCTGCCTTAAAGATCTACCACAGAGTTTGGGGCTAACTGACCCTACAATAAATGGGTCTCAGTTTGCTGTGTTTCATAAGCTTTATGTTAGTTTCCTGGAGTTTTGCTTTCTCTCTCTCTCTCTCTCTTTTTCTTTTGGTCACTGAGGTCTAGGTCTGTAAGAACATTCTCAGTCTTATTTTTCTATTTCTGTTAGACTTGGAAACCAAACAAGCAAGTTATTAAGTTACATGGAAAGTTTAAAAAAATACTGAGTTCTAGTTGTTTAACAAATTATACTGGCCTATCCCCAGCTTCTTAGAAATAACCCATATTAAAGCACTGTGTATACTATAAAGCACTAAATAAATCACTGTCAGTATAATTATTTTGGCTAACATTTTAGACAAATCATGTTACTAGATAGGTAAGAAGTTATATAATGAGTACTCTGAATACGTGTTTAACCCACAGAGCACCGTAATTTATTATTTTTTACAACACTCTGCTAAATGGGAAACTGAGGCATATGTAGCTTATGGATTAAAGAAAGAATTAATATGACTGCTGTACTTCAAATGGTAGGCCAGTATTTAATTTTTTGACCAAATCTTACTTTAACTCTTTTAATTTCAACCCTAAAAGAAAAAAGTAATAATAACTGACATTACTGGGCACTCACCATTTTGAAGTGGTTTACATATTTCAACTCATTTAATGTTCACAATAAACCTCATGAAGTAAGAACTAAAGAACTACTGTTATCTCTATCTTACGGATGAGGAAACTGAGGTAACAAGTAGCTGGGTAACTCCTAAGGTTACGTAGCTTATAAATGTCAGAGTTGAGTCATGAAACAAATCTGGCATGCTGCCTTACCCCAAAAAGCTGGTGACTGACCAGTTTTTATATCTAGAAACCCAAGCCATTTATATGTAATATTTGTCCAATTACTCCTGGGAAAACAAATTATTCACTAAGTTCGTTAAATTATAAAAATTTAAATAAAAGGCTACTCAGTGAAACTTTATTTATAGTTAAAAATAAGAATCTCCCTTTAAAAAAAATTCTTAGTGTAAAGTATGAAGGCAAATTTCTCATAAACAAAAAATGTTCCCCTTTCATTCTGACCATGTGTCGGGTTTCCAATCTTAAGTAACAGCTTTTGGACAGGTTACAGCAAAGAAAATCTAAAGCCAACTGAGATTAAGTAGCTGCCAAAGTATGCTGCTATTATGGACATTTAAAACCAACCAGTTTTTTCAAAAGTAAAAACATGAACTGCACTACAGTGTCTCCAAGATCCCTTCTAGTGCTGAAGTTCTATGAATCTAGGAACAGAAAGTAAATGGTCTCTTAAAACATACCTTGAGTATTCTTGAGGATATGGAGAAGAGTACCAGGTATGGATTTCATACTTCCCAAACTCAATAACAGAGGGGCAGCGGACTTGTGGATCAGGGGGACCGGTCACTCCAACTTTCTGTGCAGTGAGAAAATACATTAATTACATAAGTTAGCCAAATTAAATACACTGAGACAGATAACAAAACCAACAAAACAAAACAAAAACCCCATATGAATCTAAGTGTCGCCTTCTCAGGATTCCACAGGAAAAGTTAAAAAGCCAGGAACAAGCTAATAAGTTTTGAAATAAGCTGTATTATCCTTTAAATAGAGCATCCAAATGAAGAATAAAAATGCTAATAAATCTCTTAGAACCAAATGCAGTTGGTGACATTGCAGTTTCCACATTTAATAATAGTGTGAATATCCTGAACTAAACTCACTCCTTAATCACTTAGTTGTTAAAGAGACCCTGCCAGCACTTGGGGATATAAAGTCAGGGGTGGGGAGGAGTGCTTGCTGCCCACTGGCCGAGATCACATGTATAGTGTCCCAAGTGACAGCAATGGCAACCACCTACTCAACATGTGAGCACATACAGAAAGGAATCATCCTCCAGTTTGTGAAAACAGATATTAAGGAATATGACAAAACAAGTAGGAGTCTTCATTTTACACTGCCCCTAAAATTCCCTTCTTAGTGGCTTTTCATAGGTTTAACCAAAGAAAGTAATACTCTGTTAAACACATATTTTTATCCCTTTTTATCTATCTTCTGTTTACAATTAAAATAATTTCTATACCCCCATCCCTGCAATAACCTGAAGTACACTATCTTAAAAAAGGAATAACTTGTAAAGCGTTGAGGACTTCCACACCAGCAGCTCAAATATAAGCCACTGCTATTGACTACAAGGATCAGGTTTTAAAACCTTAAATTCAAGGGGAATCTGATCTGCCCTGCACCCACTACAACAAGATTCATACATGTATACATGTATATAGGCATACCTCGGAGATACTGTGGATTCGGCTCCAGACCACAGCAACAAAGTGAATATCACAAGTCACACGAATTTTTTGGTCTCCCAGTGCATATAAAAGTTATTTACACTACACTCTAGTCTATTAAGTTTGCAATAGCATTATGTCTAAAAAAAACAACGGACATACCTTAATTAAAAAATACTTTACTGCTAAAAAATGCTAACCATTATCTGAGCCTTCAGCAAGTCACCATAACAGATCACGAGAACAAATATAATAATAATGAAAAAGTCTGAAATATTGCAAAAATTACCAAAATGTGACAGAGGCACAAAGTGAACAAATGCTGCTGGAAAAGTGGTGCTGATACACTTGCTCAACTCAGAGCTGCCACAGCCTTCAATCTGTAAAAACCTAACTATCTGTGAAGCACAATAAAGTGAAGTGTAATAAAACAAGGTATGCCCCTGTGTGTGTTATGCATATAACATATAATATATATGCATGTATATTTATTATGGATAGTCTATAAACATTAAATGACTTTTTTTTTAAAAAAGGAGCAAGAATTTAGCCTAATCAAACACGAGTATTAATAACTCTTCAAACGAGCAACCAAAATTACCTTTCAACTTTACGCTTTAAAAACCACTGAGAGATTACTAAATTCCCTTGTTGGAGCTCGTGACAAACACACACACACACACACACACACACACACACACACACACACCCCTTCTAACAAAGCTAAAAAAAAAATCAGAGGTTTTTATTCACTTTTCATATAAATTCATTTAAGGAAGAAGCCTTTTCACCACAACTCATTTGAGAACTCTGGTCTTTCTAACCATTCCCTTTTATAAAAGGCCAAGGGACTTATCTCAGGTTTCATGCTGGAACACAGCCAGGTGAAACCTCACCTCTTCCTCAGACACCTCAAAACAAAAGACAAACATCTATTAGTTGGATAAACTGTGTTATGACACCAAGGAGTACTGAGGCTCTTCCAAAGGCAAAAATCAAAAAGAAAAACACAAGACAGGGTTAAAATAAGATTTTTTTCATTTCTGAAAACCAAAATAGAACTCTGCAAAAGGTTTTAAACACACTGTTCTTTAAACTACATTCCAGAATCATGTACTCTAGTTCATAAAGTAGTATCTTTTAGGCTATCTTCACAGCTCAAAACAACAAGAATAGTAGGATAGAAAATATCAGAATAACCAATATCAGAAACCAAATCTAACTTCCTGAGCCAAGGATCAAGCAGGAAGCACGAAAGGTGAGACCATGCACCTGCTCCGGCACCGCCTGTTGTGTAAGAGCTTTCCCATCCGCTGCCCGGCGCTCCTCCAGGTGGATGCCCAACGCAAAGTGGATACTCAGCCCCAGTACAACTGTCTGCACATCGCCGCCACTAGGAGAGTCTATGTAAAACCAGACTCAGAGCAGACCTCCTCTGCCTTCGCAGCGCTCGCCTTCCCGCACTGTGAGATGTGCACAGCCACAGGGCTCCACGACCTCCAGCTCCCTTGGGAAAGAAGCCTCTGAGCCAGTGTGTTTCCCTTTACCAAGGTCTGGAAATTAACAAAGGCTCTGTGCAGTGAGGAAGTAACAGCTGCATCTATACCACTCATTAACCTAGTCCTTGCCAAATTCAAATTGTCAAAAATCTGAATTACAAGGTTATCTTTACTAAATCATTTTATTTTTAAATTTCGGTCAAAATTTCATTAAACATGCAGCTTTCAAAGTATCAGATATCGAATATAATCAAGGGCAAAACATTTTTTTAAACTTTTAACTCAGGTTCTGCCACTCTGTGCCCTCCTTCTCATTTGAATACGCCAAAATCTTTAAAACACAACATGTATTCTGGGCCAGAATGGACTTTTTAATCTAAGAAAGTAAGGGGGGCACTAAATGCACTAGTAATTGGGCTAAATCAAAAGGTAACTTTAAATATACCTATTCTAGATAATGAAACTTTTATTACCAGCAATTTATGAGAAAAGACTGTTACTCTTCTGCAAAAACACCACTTCTGTCAAATGACTAATTTATATTTTCCAATATAGAGACCACTCTTGCACACAGAGACCCCCAAGTCTAGATCTGGTACAGAACAAAAATTACAACTGATATAGATACAGCCCTGTTCCCTCCCTCTGCCAGACCTTCCTTTTCCATTCCCTGTGGGAAATGACATTTTGGGGTGGGAGTGGAGGGTAGGACTGTACCCTTAGTATCAGTATGAGATTGTGAAATGTGGGGAGAGGACATGTCTTTCTGGTATTTGAACATTTTCCCATAAAAACTATGATAAAAAATAATTCTGTTCCTTAGGGATTAAAAGTTACCTGGTGAAAGAGATGCATAAGAATGAGTTCACATGCTGCAAAGTGGAGAGAGCATGACCTTAAGGAGTAAAGAGACTGAGCATGTGTGGGGCACCTACTGTGCAGTCTCTGCACCTCGCACTGTCATCTCACTTATTCCCCACAATCCATTCCTCAAAGTAGGAAACAACACGCCTGCTTTATAGATGGGGGGAGGGGAGAGAAGCCAAGGATCAGAGAAGTTAAGAGGTAAAGAACTCTAGGACAGGAATATCAAGAGTGAAACACAAAGACAGAAAAGAACCAACCAGGTACAAGGTGAGATAGAAAGTATGGGTAGCCCTCAACTAATTAATTTCTGAATTCCAAAAGTTTGTGTGTAAGTTTCTTTGAACTGGAACTTAGTTTTCCAAAGAAATGAAGCTACTACATGTCCACAGTCTCTTATCCAAAAGCCTTGGAATAGAATGTACTTTGGATACTGAATTCTTCTCTTGTTAGAGAAGTACTACAGTACCTATATGCATCTTAAATCAACAGCCTCAGTAGGATTTGGGACAATGCTCCATAATCAGATACATTATTATTTCTTTAGCAAAGCATATGAATAGTCACATTAAATGGGATAAGTAAAGAATATATATAGTCTAAACTCAGTTCAGATCATGTTTTGCCAACAACTGAATTAGAGTAACTAAGATCTTACTATAAAATGAGTTATCATTTTTTGTCACTCTCTAAAGAAGATATACATACAGATGGTCAATATGTACATGAAAAGATGTTCGACATCACTAATCATCAGGGAAATGCAAATGTAAACCACAATGAGATGTCACCTCACACCCATTAGGATTGCTACTATAAAAAACAAAACAAAACACCAGAAAATAACAAGTGTTGAAGAGCATCTGGAGAAACTGGAACCCTTGAGCATTGCTGGTGGGAACGTAAAATGGTACAGCCACTGCGGAAAAAAACAGTATGGCAGTTCCTCAAAAAATTAAACACAGAATTATCATATGAACCAGCAACTGCACTTCTGGGAATACAGCCAAAAGAACTGAAAGCCAGGACTCAAACAATTATTTGTACACCATGTTCATAGCAACATTATTCATAAGTCGAAAAGGCAGAAGCAACCCAAGTGTCCACTGACAGATAAAGGGATAAAAAAGATGTGGTACAAACACACAACGGAATACAATTTAGACTTTAAAAAGGAAGAAAATTCTGACACATATTACAACATGGATGAACCCTGAAGACATTATGCTAAGTAAAATAAGGCCGACACAAAAGGACAAATATTTTACGATTGCACTCATGTGAGGTCTACCTAGAGTAGTTAAATTCATAGACAGAAAGTAGAATGGTGGTTGCCAGGGGCTGGGGGAGGGAGAAATGGGGACTTAGACTTTCCTTTTCTTCTTATCCAGCTTAGATTCCAAGGTCTTTTACTGTACCTCACCTTTACCTACATCCTTAACTTCCTTTTCTCCTGATTCACCAAAATCCCAACTCTGGTTAAAGTCAATATTCCAACACAATCCAAGTTATTACCCTCATATCTGAACACTATTAGAGAAAAACACAGAACCATGCTCACTAGTCTCAATTTATAATTCATACCCACTAACCTCAATGGGCACTTGATGCTTCCCTACTCCATTCACTCTCCTATTCTTCTAGATTATTTCATTACTTTCTCCTGTCTCTCAAGCCTCCAATACCTTGTACCCCATCTTCACATTCAAGCAATGCCTTTGCTTTCTAAGAAGCAATCAAAAGAGAGCTTCCACAGCTTTCCA